TTTTAAAGCGTTCTGTTTCGTGTCTGGAGAGTTTCTCATGAGTAGGCTGGCCGTTTTTCTGGTTTTATAGTAAATCGTCAGTTGTATCCTCTGATTTTTGTCTGTAGGGATAACGTTTCTATTAACAATATCTTTCAGGACCCTTTCCTCTGTTTTATGAGCTGTGGAAAAGAAGTTCCTGTAAAATAGTCTAATAGGGGGTATAGGTGTTGTGTTAGTTGTCTTAGTTATACCTTGCCTATACCCCCTATTAGACTATTTTACAGGAACTTCTTTTCCACAGCTCATAAAACAGAGGAAAGGGTCCTGAAAGATATTGTTAATAGAAACGTTATCCCTACAGACAAAAATCAGAGGATACAACTGACGATTTACTATAAAACCAGAAAAACGGCCAGCCTACTCATGAGAAACTCTCCAGACACGAAACAGAACGCTTTAAAAGAGACTAACGTCGTCTATGCCTTCAAATGCCCACTTGGGGACTGTAAGCTCCAAAAAACCCAGTATATAGGCAAGACAACAACATCTCTTTCTAGGCGTTTAACGATGCATAAACAACAGGGCTCCATTAAGGAACATATAATCTCTTCCCATAACCAAACCATCGCCAGAGAAATCCTAGTAAACAACACAGAAATCATCGATAGATACAGCGATAGCAGGCGGCTTGACGTTTGCGAGGCACTACACATCAAGAAGTCAACACCAGCAATCAACAGCCAATTATTGCACAACTATATTCTACCCACCTCAAGACTCCGCTCCAATATAGAAGCATCAAGAAATATGGACCAATAGGCTTTCTACAAACACTTCTATTCAATATCCATTGTTTCGTGTTCTGTCTTGTGTTGATACTTTTAATACCCTATTAATATCCTCTAATGCCACATCATCCTTCCCACCTCACTCAAATGTAATGCCACATCACCCTTCCCACCTCACTCAAAAGTAGATATAAAATCAGGGAAATGCAAGTTCTAATCAGTTGTGTATTTGTGAAGTCTTTGAAAATGTAATAAGTTTTACGAAACGCGCCCGTGTCGCGTCAGACTAGAAATAAAAATGAATTTTGGAGAAGTGATTTTTGATTTACCTCCAACAGTGAAGCATAATGTACGAAAGATTGAGAAAATTCGTGTTAGAATTATTAATCTTACTTTTTCGGTCATATTTAATAAAATATATATATATATATATATATATATATATAATATATATATATATATATATATATATATATATATATATATATATATATATATATATATATATATATATATATATATATATATATATATATATATCAAAAATCAATTCTCCAAAATTCATTTTTATTTCTAGTCTGACGCGACACGAGCGCGTTTCGTAAAACTTATTACATTTTCAAAGACTTTTAGTTTACAAATACACAACTGAATAGAACTTACGCATCTCCGATTTTATATCTACATTTGAGTGAGGTGGATGGGGTGAGGTGGCATTAATAGGGTATTAATTTCATCAACACAAGACAGAACAAGAGGTGGCATTAATAGGGTATTAATTTCATCAACACAAGACAGAACACGAAACAATGGGTATTGAATAGAAGTGTTTGTAGAAAGCCTATTGGTCCATATTTCTTGATGCTTCTATATTGGAGCGGAGTCTTGAGGTGGGTAGAATATAGTTGTGCATTAATTGGCTGTTGATTGCTGGTGTTGACTTCTTGATGTGTAGTGCCTCGCAAACGTCAAGCCGCCTGCTATCGCTGTATCTATCGATGATTTCTGTGTTGATGATTTCTGTGTTGTTTCTAAACATGATGATTTCTGTGTTGATGATTTCTGTGTTGATGATTTCTGTGTTGATGATTTCTGTGTTGTTTCTAAACAACACAGAAATCATCGATAGATACAGCGATAGCAGGCGGCTTGACGTTTGCGAGGCACTACACATCAAGAAGTCAACACCAGCAATCAACAGCCAATTAATGCACAACTATATTCTACCCACCTCAAGACTCCGCTCCAATATAGAAGCATCAAGAAATATGGACCAATAGGCTTTCTACAAACACTTCTATTCAATACCCATTGTTTCGTGTTCTGTCTTGTGTTGATGAAATTAATACCCTATTAATGCCACCTCTTGTTCTGTCTTGTGTTGATGAAATTAATACCCTATTAATGCCACCTCACCCCATCCACCTCACTCAAATGTAGATATAAAATCGGAGATGCGTAAGTTCTATTCAGTTGTGTATTTGTAAACTAAAAGTCTTTGAAAATGTAATAAGTTTTACGAAACGCGCTCGTGTCGCGTCAGACTAGAAATAAAAATGAATTTTGGAGAATTGATTTTTGATTTACCTCCAACAGTGAAAAGAAATGTACGAAAGATTGAGAAAATTCGTGTTAGAATTATTAATCTTACTTTTTCGGTCATATTTAATAATATATATATATATATATATATATATATATATATATATATATATATATATATATATATATATATATATATATATATATATATATATATATATATATATATATATATATATTGTGACGGTAAAGCGTTGGTGTTCAGCTGTTTCAAAAGCTGGGGGCAGGGCCTCGTCACATCACAAAAAAAAAAAAAAAAAGTTTGTCCTTTCGTCTGTGGTAAGGTAATGGGAAGACACACAAAACACAAGTATATAAACAATGAAATTTTAATTACTCTAGAAAACAAGACATGAATAAAGACAATCTCATAAAATTCAACACTGGTCAACAAACAAAATAACATGAATAATAACTGGCAATGAAAAGTTACTCTAAGACAAGTAAGTTATAGGGATAGCAATATAAATTAATATGTGCGGCGCTGGAATACTGGCTTCAAGCTGCCACCTCCCTTAGTACACGAAAGCCAAGGCTTAGTCTACTAGCGAGAGATGTCAACTCCAAGGAGCACAAAGATATTCTGACGAGTGCGGCGTGCTGCTGCCCAGACAATGACTCTGGTGGTGACATGAGTGCAGGTGTGGCGAGACATCAGCCAATCAGCAACAGGCAGGCGGAGGATGAGCAATTTGCTGGTTACGGCGGCTGTGGCTGGTGTCGGGGTGTGCATGGTAAGATTTGCTTCCTGGGCAAAACGTTTGGCGATACTGGTGGACGTATCTTCTATATAGTATCTTGTACTTAACGACGTAATGATGTAGGGAAGAGCAGCCTCAATCTCTCTTAAAAGAGATTATCGTCACAATATATATATATATATATATATATATATATATATATATATATATATATATATATATATATATATATATATATATATATATATATATATATATATATATATTCTACTACTACGGTCAGTAGGCTACGGTCAACAACACACTTGAATTCCGAACTGTAGGCTTCTTTCTGCCTGTGTATCGTACTTCTGCCGATATTTTGATGCACTATCGCAGCTTCAACACTTCGTATGTTAGTCTGCCACTTAAAACCCGGAAATTTGGACTCTAAATAGGAGTTCTGCCACCCAACGCCTACCCCGCCTAACACCTACCTCCTAGATCAAAGTTTAAACTAGGGGAGTAATGTTTAATAAAAGTTACCTTATTAAATTTGTTGCTGTCATTCACACTTCATAGTTTCGTTTTGCCTTTATATATACTTTTCAATTATTCTTATGAATTTGATTTATTGTTATAGAGACCCCTTCCTCACTTATTATTTGTTTGTAAATAGCCTTCATATTTTTGATAATGTTCTTTAGTCCAAAAGATGTGCATCTTTGTTAAATAGATATCAATGGTTAAAACAAAGGGTCGAGCTAAATGGGAAGAAATCTGATTGGAGAAATGTGGTAAGTGGGGTACCACAGGGGTTCATTTTGGGGCCAACCCTTTTTTCATATACATCAATGACAAATGAGAATGTTGCAAACCCCATTACCAAATTTACAGATGACACTAAGAGTTATGGTAAAGTGGGAAGTGAAAATCATATTGAGGCATTACAAAGAGATCTATATGAACTCCACAAATGGTCAGAAATCTGGCAAATGCTTTTCAAAATCGATAAATACAAGACTCTGCATGTGGGGGCATAACAATCCACGTGACAACTACCAAATTAGCAGCACTACGTTACAACAGATTGACGAAGAAAAGGACCGTGGAGTCAGAATCCAGCATTCACTGAACATTGCACAACAAGTGGAAACGGTAGTAAAAAACAGCGAACTAAATCCTTAGAATAATCAAGCGTACTCTTGACTTTATGAAATTGAAGATAGTCATTCAACTGTACAAGTCTCTGTACACCACCACCTGTATCATTGCATCCAGGCATGGAGAGGAGACCTCATCTTCCGAAAAACATATCTTCATTGGAGAAAGTTCAACACCGGGTAACAAAAATAATTCCAGAACTAAGTCAACTCTCATACCAAGACGGGTTGAGAGCCTCGGGGTTCACACACCAACAAAAAATGCAAGTCAGACTTGATAGGGCTGATCTCATCAAAACTTTCGAAATACTGAACAATTCTGGGATGCTGGTCCAAACAATTTCTTCAAAAGGTCAGATGTAACACAAATAAGGAGCAACGGTTTCAAGCTCAACAAGCCACAATCTAGGACAGAACAGGAGATGCTTTTTCACCCACAGCTTTATAAGCCCATGGAACCGCCTACCCTTCGAAGCGGTAGGCGGTTCCAAGACTGCTGAGCTTCAAAATCCTGGTTGAAAAAAATCATCAGGATAAATGGGGTGAAGATGGGGGGGCGGGACCTTTGACAAGCCGTTGACTTCCGGTCCTCATCGAGGCCACTAGTGTGTTAGTAGACCTTAGACAAAATCTGGAAATTTTGAATCATTGTTTTTCGATACATTCCACCACTGAACTCTTGATGCACAAACAGATGAGTAAATGTATAACTGTATATGTACAAGCAGGCATAAGACATGTTGTGGTGGCAATAAGTGGTGACGTGCAGTGTTTGTGTGGTGCAGGCAGAGCTGGAGCAGGTGCTGGGGCTGGGAGCACATCCTAGGCGCATCATCTTCGCTAACCCCTATAAGGCCCCGTCACACATCCGTCGAGCCCAGGAGCTAAATGTTCCCTTGATGACTTTTGACAGCGTGTCAGAACTACACAAGGTCAAGGCAATCTATCCAGAAGCACAGTAAGTTGGTACTATATTCTCCTTTTATAATGCATCGTAAGTTTATATATCTCTTTCAGAGGTTTTACTGCGAGACCTGATTTTTGATCATTCATAAAATTTTCTCGTAAATAATTCAGCCAGTGACCATTAAAAATTGTCATTTAATACTTTATATAACAAGTTTTAAATATCAATCATAAATAATGACACGAATAATAATGACTGCCGTTCTCAAGACATACTATCAAACGCTTTTGATATATCAACATTCTTTCACCCTGCAGCAGAAACAAGCAGAAGTTGTAAACTAATACTCTCCCCACCTTATGTATCAAGGCTGGTGCTTCGGATACGCAGCGACGCCACTGAGGCCATAGTTCGTTTAGGGCTAAAGTTCGGAGCACTGCCGGAGGAGACCCGGGAGCTGCTGGTGGCTGCTCGCACCCTTTCTCTGAACATTGTGGGCGTCGCCTTCCACGTCGGCTCCGGATGTAGGGAATCGACCGCTTACACCCGCGCTATTACTGCTGCCCGCAAGGTTAGTATTGCTGCTGACCACAAGGTTAGTATTGTTGCTGCCCGCAAGGTTAGTATTGTTGCTGCCCGCAAGGTTAGTATTGTTGCTGCCCACAAGGTTAGTATTGTTGCTGCCCGCAAGGTTAGTATTGTTGCTGCCCGCAAGGTTAGTATTGTTGCTGCCCGCAAGGTTAGTATTGTTGCTGCCCGCAAGGTTAGTATTGCTGCTGCCCGCAAGGTTAGTATTGCTGCTGCCTGCAAGGTTAGTATTGTTGCTGCCCGCAAGGTTAGTAGTAAGTAATTATCAAAAGAAGGCACCAAACCAGGAAGGCTATGTAGCACCATCAAATGTGCGGAATAATCAGAGGGCGCTAAATATCACCAAGGATGCCAATACGAGAACAAAAACGCATAAGGCGAACGACATAAAAAATATCCGAGTCACCAAGAATTTTATTGACCGGACAGGTGACCGCGAGGGGCGGTCAGAGAACAAGACACACGCTCGTCCTGGAATTCAGGACATTCAAGAAGGATATGCACGACCATAAGAGGGACAATGTAATTAGGACAATAAAGAGCAGAGCGGCGCTCCATCAAGTGACCATGGGTTAAGTAAGTATGGTCAATACGCAACCTCACCAGAGCCGTTTCCCATCGCCGGTTACGGTGGTAGGAGGACGGCCACGAGGAAACACAACATTTAAGAGTGCGTAGTTTGTTACCAGTAACAGACGACCAAGAAGCCTGCCAACGGGTAAGGATGGAGGAATGGATGACCGGGTAAAAGTCGGAATACGGAGTACCTTTACGAGAGATGGGACATAAGCGGACAGCTTCCTTGGCGGCAGCATCCGCACGCTCATTTAAAGACACACCAATATGGCTGGGAACCCAACAAAATTCAACCGACTTAAATTTACTGTGAACAAGAAACAGCCAATGCTGGATCTCGACAACTACTGGATGAACCAGATTAAAGGACTCGAGAGCCATGAGGGCACTACGAGAGTCGACAACAACTACAAAGGAAGACTGTCAACGAGAAAGCAGGAGACGAAGAGCATAGAGAATAGCATTAAGCTCCGCTGTGAAGATGCTGGTCTCCGGGGGTAAGCGACACTTATAAGTGTGATCAGGAAAAACAACAGAGTAGCCAACACCGTCTGCAGACTTAGACCCATCGGTGAAGACAGAAACGGAGTGAGAGTGAGAAGAAAAGTGCTAAAGAAAAAGGCGTTTTAGAACCGTAGGAGGGGTAAAAGCTTTAGTAACGCGGGTCAAGGATGTACAAAACTGCGGAAGGGGGACTCTCCACGGGGGTAAAGAAGGAACAACACGAGGAGAAATATTAGAAATACAAACAGAAAGAGAATCCTGTAAGCGAGATAACCGGACAGAAAGAGGGAGGTGGTGAAGAGAAACAGGAACCGCAGGAGGGGTAAAAGTTAAAGCACGACAGAGGCGAGAGGAAGGATGTTACAAGGACCACGCAAGATAGCGAAGACAGTAGCGATCACGGCGGTCCTGGAGAGACAGGAAGCCAGTGTCAACATACAAGCTGAAGACGGGAGTCGAACGAAAGGCACCAGAACTGAGGCGCAACCCAGTATGGTGCAAAGCATCAAGATGGCGAAGAGTGGAAGGAGAAGCAGACGAGTAAGCAGGGCAACCATAATCGAGCTTAGACAGGACGAGAGAGGAATGTAAAGCAAGGAGAGTGCGCCTATCCGCTCCCCAAGAAGTATGGGACAATACCCAAAGGAGGGTAAGGACCTTAGAGCACTCAACACGGAGGTAAGAGATATGGGGAGACCAAGACAAACGAGTGTCAAGGAATAACCCCAAAAGCTTCGCGGAATCTTTGTACTCAAGGGGATGACCATAAAGTGACAAAGAGGGACGAAGAACGACCCGTTTCCGTGTAAAAGTCATGGCACAAGTCTTAGAAGTAGAGAACTTGAAGCCATGACCTGTGGCCCAAGACGACACGGCATCAATCGCAAGTTGAAGCCGGCGTTGAAGGAGAGGCGAATCATCACCCTGACAGCAAAGGGTAAGATCATCGACATAGAGAGCGGAGAAAACACCTGAAGGAAGTGAGGAAAGAAGACCATTGAGGGCAACCAGAAAAAGAGTAGTGCTCAGAACACTACCCTGGGGCACACCTTCGTACTGCTGAAAAGAGGCAGAGAGAGCGGTACCAAGGCGCACCCGACAGAAACGACGAGAGAGGAAGCTGCGGAGAAAGAGAGGGAGATGACCACGAAGGCCAAAAGAATGAAGCTGGGATAGAATATGATAACGTCATGTGGTGTCGTAAGCCTTTTCCAGGTCAAAAAGAACGGCAACAACGGAGGTCTTCGCAGCAAAAGCAGTACGAATATAGACCTCCAAGTTCACCAGGAGGTGATGGGATGATGGGCCTGGCCCCCAGGGGTGATGGGCCTGGCCCCCAGGGGTGATAAGCCTGGCCCCCAGGGGTGATGGGCCTGGTTGCCAGGGGTGATGGGCCCGGCCCCAGAGAAGAAATTCCCAAAGTTTAACTCATCAGGAAGTAAGGTTCTCCCTCACAATGCCCATGTGATGGAAGCACATATTGGTAACAATCTATTTATAAGGAAAATTCCACAATCATAATCATGCGACTTGATCAAACTAGAAATGCTGTGCGAATCAAGGGTCCACCAGTGATTGGAATGACCTTCCCAATTACGTTGAAAACTGCCCTCTCTCAACAAGTTAAAGAGTGAAAAAAGTACTACCTAATCAACTCCATGCAACCTGTCCTACCTCCGACGTATCAACTTATGTCTTACCTTTATAAACAGTAATAATTAATGACTAACTTGTAAAACTGTTGATATCTGCTGTGTTTAAACTTAAAAAAATTGTAGTCTGTCTGTTTATTTAAAGTTAATATCTGCTCTCCTGTTGCAATTTCTGCTGTTCCATCCAACATGTAAACATTGTCACTTTTTTCTATTTCATTTCAATTCATGCTTTTTATTTAATTTAATTTTGATTCTTGGTTTTTAAGTGTTTTTCAAATTTTTCCCAAAATGCTGTGCGTATTAGTGGCCTTAGGCATCAGACATACTAGCTCTATCTATCAATCCAACATTCTGCTAATAACTCATTCTGTATGCATGTACTTCTACCTAAACTATTATTATTTTTATTATTTATAATAAATCATCTTGCCTCTTAACATTTACGTTAAGATCCAATACTCCAGTTCGATAAAAGCAAGGATTTACACCTACAATATACTAGGCAAGAATAAACACTCAGGTTAAAGAAACTAATAACCAAAGAGCATTAAACACACATATCCACGTACACCATCCTCTTGCAGGTCACTCTTCCGAACACTGTGAGTGAATTGTACGTTGCATTTATATTTCACAAAATTCAATAATAGAAGCATTGTGGCAGATACTTAAAAGAACATGACAAGGGAAAATCATGCAGACAAAACTGACGCGACGTCCCTCACAGGCAGCCATGACCAAACTAACTCTGCTTGCCAGGCAGCATACCTGCAAACGTAAAAAACTCGTCCTGTAACCATCCAAGTTATCTAATGTGTTATGCCCAAACACTTAACAAAGCATTCTACAAAATAACTAACCTACTGGCTGCTTACTACTTAGTCAACACTAGAATTTAGTGGTTGACTGGTGGTAACTAGACCCCCCTGGTCGTAACTAGACCCCCCTGGTGGTAACTAGACCACCCTGGTGGTAACTAGACCCCCCTGGTGGTAACTAGACCCCCCTGGTGGTAACTAGACCCCCTGGTCGTAACTAGACCACCCTGGTCGTAACTAGACCACCCTGGTGGTAACTAGACCCCCCTGGTGGTAACTAGACCCCCCTGGTGGTAACTAGACCCCCCTGGTCGTAACTAGACCACCCTGGTCGTAACTAGACCCCCCTGGTCGTAACTAGACCCCCCTGGTCGTAACTAGACCCCCCTGGTGGTAACTAGACCCCCCTGGTGGTAACTAGACCCCCCTGGTCGTAACTAGACCCCCCTGGTCGTAACTAGACCACCCTGGTGGTAACTAGACCACCCTGGTCGTAACTAGACCACCCTGGTGGTAACTAGACCCCCCTGGTGGTAACTAGACCACCCTGGTGGTAACTAGACCACCCTAGTCGTAACTAGACCACCCTGGTGGTAACTAGACCACCCTGGTCGTAACTAGACCACCCTGGTCGTAACTAGACCACCCTGGTCGTAACTAGACCACCCTGGTCGTAACTAGACCACCCTGGTCGTAACTAGACCACCCTGGTCGTAACTAGACCACCCTGGTCGTAACTAGACCACCCTGGTCGTAACTAGACAACCCTGGTCGTAACTAGACCACCCTGGTGGTAACTAGACCACCCTGGTGGTAACTAGACCCCCTGGTCGTAACTAGACCCCCCTGGTCGTAACTAGACCCCCCTGGTCGTAGCTAGACCACCCTGGACGTAACTAGACCACCCTGGTCGTTACTAGACCACCCTGGTCGTAACTAGACCACCCTGGTCGTAACTAGACCCCCCTGGTCGTAACTAGACAACCCTGGTCGTAACTAGACAACCCTGGTCGTAACTAGACAACCCTGGTCGTAACTAGACCACCCTGGTCGTAACTAGACCACCCTGGTCGTAACTAGACAACCCTGGTCGTAACTAGACCACCCTGGTCGTAACTAGACTACCCTGGTCGTAACTAGACCACCCTGGTCGTAACTAGACCACCCTGGTCGTAACTAGACCCCCCTGGTCGTAACTAGACCCCCCTGGTCGTAACTAGACCACCCTGGTCGTAACTAAACGACCCTGGTCGTAACTAGACCACCCTGGTCGTAACTAGACCACCCTGGTCGTAACTAGACCACCCTGGTCGTAACTAGACCTCCCTGGTCGTAACTACACCACCCTGGTCGTAACTAGACCACCCTGGTCGTAACTAGACCACCCTGGTCGTAACTAGACCACCCTAGTCGTAACTAGACCACCCTGG